GGGGGAAACCTCCTCAGCGAGAAGGGGATGGGGGGGGGGAGCCTCCTCAGTACTTGTGTTCTCCACTTGTCCCAGCCCTGCCTCCAGGCCCCACGTCTGTCAGGGCATTGCCATGGCTTGGGCAGGACAAAGCTTGTCCCACTCCCCCCCCTTCCTCCTCTGTACACTGCTGCAAGCTGGCCCAAATCCTGTTCGAGTTCTCAGGACATACGGCTAACCCTTTATGTTTCACACTGAGTGCTACCTAGTAAGTTTATAACATAATGTTGGGGGCCCATGATGGCCCATAAGGCTATGGACTGTGTTGCCCTGTCCAGGTATCTTAGCTGCTGAGGCTCCCCTGTGAAGAAAGTGGTAGCCCTGCCTGGAGGGGAGGCCTAACGGGCCTTGGGGCATCTCCTGGATCGCATCAGCCAGGCTGCTCTGAACTGGCTTTCCTTGGCGGACAGCCAGGTGCAGCAGCATGAGGACCCTGCGAGTCATGCTGACCTGGTTGATGTTCATCTCCCTCCAGGGCCTCTTTGTCCTCCTGTTCCACTGTGTGACCCACAGGGAGGTACGGAAGCACCTGAGGGCAGTACTGGCTGGGAAGAAGCTGCACCTGGATGACTCAGCCACCACAAGGGCCACCTTGCTAACGGTAAGAGACCCCTCCAGGCCTGGGAGCTGGTGGCACTGCCTATGCAGGGTTGGGAGCTGTGAGAACCTTCCCGACTACACTCCGTTCCATAGGCTTCATATCTTGGAGCCGTCCACACACTACAGGGCAGAACTGTCCTGTAGGTGTCCCCGTCCAACTGTAGCCCCACTCACAAGGTCCTTGGAAGATATGGCCAGGACACATATCCATAGGACAACCAGAAGCAGTGTCCATAGGGACTGAGGTGTTCCCACCGTGTGGGCCAAGGGATATTCTCCCCACTGCCATGAGGCTCCAGTGTGCATGCAGCCTTGTCTCACCCTCCCGAGTGCTGGCAGGGCAGAGTGCTACCATGGGGGCTGCTCTGGGGCAATATTAACCTCTGGCTTCTGCTCACCAATGGCTTCCCACCCTTCCCCCTAGCGATCCCTCAACTGCAACAACACATACAGCGAAGGACCAGACATGCTCCGCACGGCCCTGGGCGAGTCCACAGCCTCTCTGGACAGTACCACCAGGTCAGGCCTCTGTACCCACTATTTTCATGGGGTAAACAACACCCTGGTTGTGATGCCCAGTCTGCCCCTGTATGTCCACAAGGCTGTTTTTTATCAGTTATTGCTGTTGATAGAGCATAGATGGGATTGTTTAGGGAATCTTCCAGAGCTTCCTGTGGCCTTCCACCGTGTGTGCTCTGTGACACTGACAGCCCATCATTAGCACTCAGGGACAGTGCTGAGTCTACCCCACTTGTACCCTGTCTAGGGATGAAGGGGTCCAGAAGCTCAGTGTGTCCTCTGGACCAGCACGTGGTAGCCACGGAGAACCAGATACATCCTTCATCCCTAGGAACTCCAAGAAACCTCATGGTATGGTTTACCCTGCAGACACCAGAGTCCCTGGTTCTTTCTTGCCCTTCCTCCCCTTTCTTGACCCTCCATCCCTGAGGAACTGGACTGCACGTACCCTGGAAGAGCATGGGTGGCCTCACACTCAGCTGGAGTCAGGGCCTGAGCTCCTTCCTGCACCCTGCCCCTGCAGGCCCCGACTCTGACTCCGACAGTGAACTGTCCCTGGATGAGCACAGCAGCTCCTATGCCTCTTCACACTCATCCGACAGCGAGGACGATGGTGGAGATGCTGAAGACAAATGGAATCCGGCTGGGGGCCCCATCCACAGCACCCCAAAAGGTGAGCAGTAGAGACACAGTGGGCTATGAGCACACCTCAACTGTGGCTTGCACCCTCTAGGACCTATCCAGCAGAATAATAGCCACACAGGACAGCTTGGATTGGAACAGAAAAAGCAGGAAGTTGCCCATACCATCTGCTGGGCAGAGGCAGGAATTTGGGGGTTTCCACAGACTATGACTGCGGAGAGCTGGAAACGACATGCAATGAGCAGCCAGCATTTGGTTCCCAGAGTTGTGTGCAGCCATGGGGATCACATACCAGGGTCCCCAACATCAAGATGTGGTCGCAGTGTCTCCATCTTTAGCGTATTACAACCCTGCTAGTCCAGCAAGCCAGGATGAGGTCAAGGCAACTCTCGGGGTCTACCAGGCCTGGTATGACAGGGGTGTAGCTGCAAGTCTAACCCAGTGTCATTCTTCTCTCAGATGCTCTAGCCAACCATGTCCAAGCTGGCTGGCCCGATGAGAGCCTGGCTGGGAGCGACAGTGAGGAGCTGGATGCAGAGCCCCACCTGAAGGTGGAGACCAAGGTCAGCGTGGAGCTGCACCGGCATGCACAGGGCAATCACTGTGGCGACCGGCCCCCTGACCTGGAAAGTGGGGTCCTGGCAAAGCCAGTGGTTGTGCTCAGCAGCCAGCCCCAGGAGCAACGGAAAGGTACCTCAGGAGGGCCCTGCTGTGTCCCTGAAGCAAACCCTCATGTAGCACACAGGACAGGGGCAGGAGTCCGTGTTCAGCAGGTTGGGGTGGGGGTGGGGGTCCTGTGGAGAATTTGGGTTAGGCCTGGGCAAGTCGGTAAGAACCAGGTTAGGTGCAGTTACTTGCTCGACACCATCCATCCCCAACTGAGCCACTGTCCCTGTGTCTACTTGGACTGACTTGGTGGCCACCTCCCTCCTCCCAGGCATCCTGAAAAACAAAGTCACCTACCCGCCACCGCTACCAGAACAGCCGCTGAAGTGCCGGCTGCGAGAGAAGCTGGCCGACTGTGAGCAAAGCCCCTCGTCGTCCCGCACATCCTCCCTCGGCTCCGGTGATGGCGTCCGTGCCACCGACTGTGTCATTACCATCAAGACTCCAAGGAGGGAGCCAGGCCGTGAACACCTCAATGGGGTGGCCATGAATGTATGCACAGGGAGTGCTCAGGCCAATGGCTCTGACTCGGAGTAAGTAGCCTGGATTCCAGGGTGTTGTAAGGGTGGGGCCCACCAGCTTTCCCCATCCAGGGCCACTAGAGCCCCCAGGCTTTCCCTCACACCTCATTGGGAATGCCCGCCCCTAAATGACTTTAGATTCCATCCAGTTGCCACCGTCACTGACCCTCCACACGCCTGGCAATTCTTCCCACACACAGAGGCAGTAATGAAACTTCAATTTGAACCATCAGGAAACCATGAGGCACAGTCAACCCTACAGACTGCCAGTCAAGCCCTGGGACCTAGACGCAGACAGGCCCTTGGTATGAGGGTCCCTGCAACAGCAGCTGGCTCTACACGGAATGTTCAGATGGGAAGCTCAGGGCCCATCAGACTCTGTGACAAGTGCCAAAGTCACAGGCATGTCTCAAGAGGGAGACACGGACTTTAGGCAGGCACGGCTCCGTCCTCAGACTGCAGACAGTACCCAAACTATGCTGCTGACCTGGCCACAAGAGGCCTAGACAGAAGCCACAGAGCCCAAGCTAGCCGTGGTGAATCACTATGCCAGGCCCTTCAGCCTGCCAGGGTTCAGATACTGGACGCAGGCCAAGGCCCAGCTCTCAATCACAGGCATCTCCTCACAGCACAAGCCTATAGTCACCAGCCTGAGTCTCTGCAAAGGTACCCTTTGTCTTAAATTGCTGTTTAAAGTTGTAAATATGTATAAATCTGTCCTGGACTTGGAGAAGATGGAAACCTATGTATATTTTACAATGTCCTGACTTTGCTTACACTAGAGAGCCATGAAATGGCATCTCAATATATTGCCCAAGGAGGCCTACACAGTTGTACTTGTGTCTGGAAGAATCAACACAGCTGGTCCCAGTGCCCAGGTGGGAAGGACAAGGGCGCTGATGTTGATATAGTCATCACAAACTCTGGCAACTGCTTCCAGCAAGCAGGGAGTGTGGTGTTCTGCTGGCCTTCAGAGCACACAAATGTGTGCGCTCAGCTCCATGGATCCAGGATGGGGCTGGCCTGTGAAGTGTGACTGCCACTGCTGGTTTCACACAGGGTGAAATCCCCAGCACTCTGCCACTCCCACACCCTTGTGCCAGCTCTACTCCTGATACAGAGGGGCTTCGCTGGAGCGTCCCAGTCAGCCCAGTACTGCGGGGGAGAATTTCTTTGTCCCTGCTCCTGCTCCCCATAGGATCTCAGAGGAATCATGTTCCTGATTCAGAGGGACCCCTGAGGTCTCCCAGGATGTCACATTCCTTCCTGCCAATGTTCTACTCTTTCAAACTCCAGAGCTCTCTGGGCAGGCAGGGGCTCCACCCCCGAAATCTGACCAATGACATCACTTTGCTTTAAGTGGCCAATTGTGCAGAGAAACAAAGCCACAGTCCCAGTTTTCAATGGTTAGCAAATTCTTTTTGGAAACTCACACCAAGGGCTACTGTGATCAGCCCGCCACCGTGCGGCCAAGCCCAAGAAGAGATGGGCCCAGAGTTACTGACACACTTCAGCACTCACTGCTGTTGGAATCGGGTGGACATGCGCTGCACAGCTGCTGGCGAATGGGAGAAACCAGGATGTCAAATGCGACGACTTTCACACCACGCTGCACGCTGAGAGATCAGAACTGCTAATGATTGACTCGTGTCAGAGGAAAGCCCACATGATGTGGTCTGAGGTCACTCATTACCACGAGGCTGAAGGGAGGCCCTAGGCAGCCTCTGAGGATGCAAGGACACAAAGAATGAAATACAGGGAGCTTCAGTCTCCAGGAGCTGGAGCACTGTGATTGCTCCCAATGCCGCAGCTCCACGCCACCCCAGAAGGTGGAGTTTTTAATTTGATCATAACTGCTACAAAAACAAAACAAGCTGTCAGTTTTAAACTGTTTTTATGACCTAAGACTACAGGTTCAACACTGGAGGTTTTTAACAGGTGTATTTATTACTGTTCGGCACTGGGTGACAACACAGGTGAGACACAGCTATAATAAATTAAAATTTGTGGATTTGTACCTATGCTGTGCTGGGTGTTTTCCGTTCCCTAAGGTGGCATGGAAGGGACTACTGAAGACGGCCTCAGGCTCTCATGGGGTGCAGGTGGCAGACAGGTATTGTCATAATTTTCTATTCACGTGCAGGTCTGCCACGACATGGATGGACTTGCCCAAGTTTTCCAATTCTTCAGCCTCTGTGTCTTTTATCAAATTTGAGAACTTAAGGATCTGTAAAGTGTGCATAGATGTCTCTGCCAGTATTCTTAACCAGAGCCATCATCTTTCCAGCTAGGGGACAGAGACCAGAAAAGGGCATCTGGTGTCTTCTATCACTTCCCACCTATGAGGCAGGGTCTCTCCCTGAACCTGGGGTTTGTGGGCTTTTTTTTTTTTTTTCAGCTAAACTGGAAGCCAGCAAACCCCCACTAGTCCTGTCTCTACTCCTTCCGGAGATGGGGTCACAGGTATGTGCAGGCCAAGCAGCTTATGTGGTACTGAGTCCAAGCTCAGGGCCTCCTGATTGCACAGCAAGCACTTTAAACCACAGCGCCATCTTGTGGCAGTCTCCAAATCTGGGACCACTACAAGGGCCTATTAGACCCTGTGGTGCTGCTACCTCTCTTGTTCTGCAGATCTGAGCACTAGCAATAGTCATGATGCTCGCTCATCCTCTCGGAGACTACACTGCTGCTCACATTTCAAGTGTTCTGGTTCCTCGCTGTGTCTACTGCTCTGCATTCACCGTCATCTGCTAGGAACTGCGGATCGGTGCTCTACTCTCCCTGGTGCTGTACAGATCAATGACCTCAGGGTTCCATCCATCATCTTTCTCTTGGCTTTAAGAACTCCAATGGCATCTTGAATTCTTTAGAGTCTGGGCCTGGTTAAAACCCTCATCCTAACGTAGCAGCGACCTGGCTAGCACTATTTCCTAGCAGTGCTGCTTCCAGCCCGCATCTATTTGATTCCTGTCCAAAACGGTGAGTTTCCAGACTTTTTAACCTCTGTATTGTCTCACACATCTGCCCAGTGGTGCTACCCTTGGGAAAAATGGGAGCAGAGTAGTGGGTGCCCTTTCCCTGGGTCTCTACCTGCATGCACACCTCCCCACTAAAGGTCATCTTCCGATGTGTTTTCCTTACACGCCTGAGCCCTTCTGGAGTGACACAATGTACACTTCAATACAGTGCCAAGCTGACAGGAAAACACTGGCTTCCACTTGGTGTGGGCACTGCAGGGAAAGGGTTATCTCACACATATCAGACTTCCAGACAAGGAATGGCCTAATACAGATAACTGCCTTCCTTTTGGAGAGAAATCAGGCCCTAGGGAGGGGGAAAGGGCTACAGCTGAGGCCCAGTGGAAGGAGCACAGCCATAGCAGCTCACTCAGGCCTCCAGCCGGTCCCAGACACAGTGGTCAGACTATTTGGCAGATGGTTTTATTTAATGCTGTTCCTGTGCAGCCTCGGTGCACAGCACTGTGGAAGAGCAGCTCCATCAGGGCCCTGGAGGCTGACCAGCCAGCAACTGCTTCTGGTGTACTGCAGCACCAGTGCAGAGACGCATTGCTCCTTCCTCACGCGGCCCTGGCTCTGCAGCCAACCAGCACTTACTGATTCCGGCAGCACCAAGCCCATCACTGACCAGCCTGCCCCCAGACTGCTCTAGCACTTCTTCCCAGAGGCTTGGCCTTTGTCAGGGTGTGGGGTGCAGGCCTGAGCTGTCACTGGAGACCTCGGGAGCCACTTTGCTTCTGTTCTTGCCCTTCTGGAGTGTATAGGCAGACGGCCCTAATCGTAGGATTTTCCCACTGCCAAGACATTCATCACCCTTGTAGAACACAGCAAACTGGAAAGAAAGAGGGATGGGGGAGGCTCACTGTGGTGTCTTAGATTCTAGGGCAGAGCTGACCAAGCACCTGGTCTAAGGGGGACAGCAATGTGGAGGCTCCCCATTCTACTTTCCACTGCCCCACTCACCTGTCCCAAGGCAAGGCCCCGCACAGCCTTCACAGCTGTCACCCACACGGTGCCATCCTGGTTGAGTGTCAGCACACAGGGCACTGTGGGGAGAGTTATGAGATGGGTGTGGGTCTACTTTCACTGCCAGTCACAGCCCTGGGGGAAATAGCAGCATATGGGTGCAGGAACACCTAACATCCTTCCTGCTGGAAAAGGACAGACAGTGCCCAAAAGGGCTCAAAACTGCCATGACACCTCAGAATAGCATATACTGCAACTCAATCCCTCATACTAGGACCCCAACTTCCAGCAGTTCTAACAAAACAACATTCCTGTACCTTAGTCCCCTTTCTGTGGCAGACACAGGATAAGGAGTTTTGAAGTTACAGAGTACCAATGATGTGGACTTCCTGGTGTGCTCAAGGGCACACTGCAAATGAACAGTCTGGTTTAGTTTAATCCCAGGGAGTTTAGCAACAAGGGGCCCCTTCCATCCAGTCACCTAGTGCCATCTGGTGGCGGAATCGGAAATGGCACTCCATCATCTTGTCTCTGACTAAGGCAGCAGGTGGTTCCTCGGCAATCCAGTGTACACGGTTGGTCCTGAGCAGGTCCCTGTACAGAGCTGGGTGGTCTACCTGGGGAGCCTGCAGGGCAGAATACAGACACTGTGATCCTTCGAGAGGAGCAGCCCTCATCCCAAAGCTCTCAGCAGGTATCGTTAATAAGAACAATCCTAACAGCACATCCATAACTATTTATAAACCAGCCCAGCTCAGCTGCATGCATCAGCCCATATGTGGAATTCATTTTATCAGCTTAAGGGCTGAACAAGAGAGAACAGTCAGCCATGGAGCAGAAGCAGAGGGCAGGTATGAGATCCCCACCCCTCTCATTACCCCCACCCTGCCATGCTCTGAAGATTATTTTCTATTCCTAGAGATACAGGTCAGCCACACAACTGGCCTCTTAGAAGGGCCACAGATCCCACCAGCAACAACTGGCTGAGGAAAGCAGGGGCTGAAGGATTGCAGGCCCCCCGCCACCTGGGTGGCTGCGGAACTGTGCAGCTGGCCCTGGCCTGAGTAGTTCTCACAGGCAGGACTGGTTCTGAAGTCCCTATTCCCATCACCCCTAGTCTCTGTACACAAGAACCCAGGTGCTGCCTAGGGCAGTCTAGTCTTGCCTGGGGCAGAACCAGAAACACTAAGCCCCGAGATTCTGGGTGCTAAGACACTGAGATCACCTGGCCCTTGAGCCAATGATCCTTCCAGCTCTTCTCAGCAGGCCCATCTGAGAGCTTATGCTACAGACACCTTAATTCAAGCCTGAGCAGGCATTTCTGTGCTGCTCTTCTAGAAGACCTCCAGCATCTCTGACCACCCCAGCGGGGTTCCCACCCTTGTACTCCTGAGAGCTGGAGTCAGTGAGGGTTGGGGATTGCCATGGATGCACAGGCCGGATGCCAGCAGCACCTATTCCTCCATCCCCACCCAATTCATAACCCCAAATATCTCGACAGTGTCAATCTCCTCAAAGCTTGTCCTCTTGGAGTTTCCTCCAGAGCCTAGAGCAGACCAGAATGGCCCAGGGTCCTATGTGACCAAGGGCATGGCTTGGTCCTGGCTCAGCCTGGTTCTAGCCCAACTACCTCGGCCCACAAGAACTTCTAGTACCCTTTCACGGAGGGTGGATGGGAGAGCTGACTGGGTACTATGACGACTTCCTCTCTACGAGAGGTCTTTACAAGGTATCTAATCTGACTCTCGTCCTCCTTTGCAAAGCACGCCAGTTTCTCTAGGAATGGGTGCCTTGACTGGTGCATGGCCAGCACACAATAGGAACCTAATAAAACGTTATACAAAGACCTTACACCTGTCCCAGGAGCTATGTAGGGCTGGTCTGCTGCTCCAGGCTCTTGGGCACTCCAGTGCTGCTTGTTTTACTGGTATAGCAGACAGTGAAGGCCAATCTCACTCACCACAAGCACATCACCCTTGGTGCCATCCTTCTCCACCACATACCAGGGCTCTCTCAAGCCACTGATCTTAGCTCTCTGGCCCAAAGTATACAGGAACCAACCTATGAAACAGTGATTCAGATAGTACATCTCAGTCCTCATAAGTGGGAGGCTCTGGATTGCTATGAGGCATGCTGTCTTCAAACTGTGATTCTCTTGGCTTGAAGGGCTATTGGCCCTAACCACACACTCATGCACACACCACCTAAGGTCAGGACTTGAGGGATATGATGGTGACTAGGATGGTACTAAGCCTGGCACAAATGCCAGCTCTTTCATCTGGGGGCTCTGACCCCCAAGGGGATACAGCTTGCAGAGTAGGTCTTGTGCCTAGTGATCACATTCCTTGCATCTGCACTGTATACCCACCGGACCACCTAATCACCAGCTTTACCTCCTCAAGAATGCATGTGCCCTGGCAGAGGCAATCTGGCGGGACTCACTGTACCATGGGCATCCAAACAACCGATGGCTGCTAGGGACAGCAGCACTGTCTCCAGCAAAGCCACTCTCTTCTCCAATATAACTGGGTCTCTCCTTACTCTCGGGGAGCCCTGCTCCCTCCAAAGGAGCCATACATGGCCAAAAAAAAAAACAAGAAACCCAGCACCCTGACTTTCCAGCCAGTTTAACAGATGGGTTCAGACATTAAGTCTTAGGAAGCATGTCCCCTCCAGCCCCCACATGAGCACTGTGCTGTGAGCACTTGTGACTGGCTCTGTCTCACACGCAGCACAGCACAGGTCATGGTGGTCCTCTGTGAATACGTGAATAGCACCCATGTGGTCCCTCAGTCCTATGAGGCCAGCTCTATTCTTTCTCCAGTGGCATTCCTGCAGTCTCCCTGTACTCCCATAGCAATCAACAGCATACTTTTAGCAATGTAAAATACACACACACACACGTAGAGTCCAGTTCTGAATCTAAGGGCTAAATATAAGATAGAGCATCACAGCACACACAAAGTTCCTGTCAGAGCGACTGCTCATGCCACATGTACCCACCCCAGCCCACCCCTCAGGTCCTCCCGTGCCCTTCATGAGATGGACAGAAGCTAGCCCTGGACTCACCTTTATGTGTTCCCAGAACCGTATTATCCTCGATAGAAATAAACTTTCCAGGCCGAGGCTGCAAATACTGGAAGACAAGTTTCATCACTACTGGAGACCCAGGCCCAGCGCAGACAGCCACTCACGTCAGAGGACACTCACCTGAAGAATGAAATGCTCGAAGTTTCTTTTACCAATGAAGCAGATGCCCATGCTCTGAAACGAGAGAAAGGCCAACATGATGTGAGCAGAAGCCAGGAGGCAAAGCAGGGAACAGAGAGCCAGGCAGAGAGCAGGCTGTGCTACAGGAAGCCCCAGAACTCAGCACACTCAAACAGAACTCGTAGGCCTAGAGAATGTCCTGTCTTTCTGAGTTTGGCCCCGAAATGGATGCTTTCATGTAAACACTGCATCATTTACAACTAGACTGTTGGAAAACCCATAGAGCAATCCAGGAGAGCAAACTAGACTGGCTCCCTGCTGGAGAGCCAGGGTCCAAAGGCAGAACCAGGAAACAGGGTCAAGCCAACTCAAGGCAGTAGGGGAGTCAGGGAGAAGATGGCTACAATTGGCTGAGCCCAGCTGGGAGACCAGGCAAGAAGCTGATCTCCCCAGGACTGCACTAGGCAAGCAGCTCTGCCATTACTCCTCAGTGTGTGTCAAGAGAGCAGGGGTCTGCCCCATAGAGTGCAGTGACTCTTGTCAGTTCCTACCATGGAGAATGCTGTCAAATGAACAACAGGGAAGATGATAGAACAGGTAAGGGATATTCTCTTTGGCAACATGTATTTGCTGATAAAGACACAGCCATGCGTGTTCCCAGAAGACTGGCATAAACAGTGGCTACAGGTGAAGCTGTACCAACCTCTAATCAAACCCAGACTACTGGGGCTTCTCCTAGGATCCCAGCTCTCCCTCCACAGGGGTTAGCAGTGTATGAGCGTCCTAAAGGGAGCTCTGAGAAGGTGGAGAGGAACTGTCTGTTTGTTACTGTCTCCTTGGACAGGCGCACTGTGTTGCAGACTCCTGTCTTATGGGATGGACCAGCATGGCTGCTCCCTACCCACACTCACTTGGCTGGCTAAGCCAGTTACCATATCTTCTGAGAAAGCAGTGGACCACAGCAGGCACAAGAGGTGGGAGGACGAGGTTGGTCTCAGCTGCTCCTCACCTGCAACCGTGCTCTGTGGCTTGGCCCAATGGGTTCCTAGCAAAAGCACCACCGAGCCCAGCCCTGCCTACGCCATGACAACACAGGTGGAAACATTCAGGAATCAATGGCAAGCCGCTCACTCCTACCTCTTTCTTCTGAAGCACATGATGGAGTCTATTCTCTGCAGCTATTTTCTTTACAAACTCTTTTGTTAATTCCCCCAGGGGGAAGATGGTTCTTCTCAGGGCATCCTGGGAAACCTGGCTGAGAAAGAAGGTCTGGTCTTTAAAGCTGTCAGCTGCTTGGAGAAGTTTTACGGCTGCCAAGAGTAAAGAACAAAAGTCACTGCAGGAACTCAGATAGTAACTCTGCTTTTAATGCCCTTCTGTGTGAGCAGTTACCACCCCCACCCCCGCCCCAGTCTGCCAGAAGCAAACCCATCTCAAAAGATTATGGGGAAAAAATACCAGCATGGCTAATGTACAGAAAATGCTGGCATCTGGTTTATCTATAAGGAACAGCACAGGGAAGGTAGATTTTTACATACAGAAACTTATCACTGCTTATAATTTTGATTGTAAGATTTTCAAACATGAAACACTATATGAAAAAAAGGTGAAGTGAGAAGCAATGGTCCTAAAATAAATCTAGTCACATCTGGGAGGCTGAACAAACAGCTTATGCAGAATTGTGCTGAAGTAGTATCAGCAGTTCATCTGCCTATCAACTGCAGGTGTGTGACGTGTGCAAAGAAACACACAGGGCTCTGGTCGCCAGCCCAGCCTCAGGGTGGAAACTGACATCTGCCGCCAGCCCTGCTGTGGTTTCTCTAACTTTCTCCAGGTGACTGTAAGGAACTCCTTGTTGCACATACACAGCTGTGAGTGACATTGACTTTAGACCGAGAAGGGTGGCTGGGTAAATTTCCCCAAGAAGACAGTTCCTACTCAGGCCAGGGCTGGTGGGGCAATGGGTGAATTTGCTTCTCCCACCCTTTCTCTCACACGGTGCCAGGAGGCACCCAGAGGGAATGTGGAGCACTTCACACACAGCGGCTCAGTTGTGTGTGCGCGCGCGCACATGCGTTTGAGAGCTTGCCCACGTCAGTGCATGAGTGTGGAAGTCAGGTGACAACCTCGGCTGCTGCTCTTCAGGGTCTCCCACTGGCCCAGAACTCACCAACTAAGCTAGACTGTGGAGCCTATCTCTGCCTCCTCAGTGCCGGGACTACATGGACATGCCACCATGCCTGCCATTTTACATGTGTTCTGGGAATTTTACTGAGGTCATAGCCTTTACTAACAAAGCCATGTTCTCAGCTCTACACAGTTTAAATACCACTGTATACATCACACACCAACTAGCAGTAAGCATCACACTGCCTGTAGGTTTCCACCCCCTGGCTCTGACACTGCCTTGTAAAGGAGAATTTTCCCAATCTCTACAGCAAGGACTAAGGTCTGGTCCAAGATGATGCAGGCTGTTCTACAAACTGAGCTGTTTCCCATTTCTGACCTGTCATTTTGTAAAAAAAAAAAAAAAAAAAAAAAAAAAAAAAAAAAAAAAAAAGCAACTGGCTGAAAATAAGACTAGAATTCTCTCAAATAGTGTTTGTGTACATTTTCTTTTGGTTCTGAGTTACTCTGTCCTGGATTCTTTTTGACTGGTTGTTTTTTGAGCCTTCCAAGTGCTGGGCTTAAAGGTGTGTCCCCACATCTACCTTCTGAGTTATTTTAAAACACAATGAAAACCTATGCCTTTGAAACAGGAAGCTGGTAACATATTAACGAAGATGTTAGAGGGAAAGAGCTGGCTGCAGCTAACATCTGGTGAAGCCGAAGCCGACTAGAGTTCAGCGCTAGCTGTTTCCAGGATCCTGCCCTCCTATTTGTTCTGCCAGGCACTGCACCATGTTCAGATGAAAACCAGCTAGTTACAAGGTCAGGTCCACAACTACAGCCATTCCCTGAGCCCAAGAGCTCTTATGCCTCTACTTGGATGATCCCCTAGGACTCAGACCAAAGCCACAAAACAGCTTTGGTTTGCCTAAAATGCACACCAGAAACAAAGTCATCAAAAACTACCACCGGCAAGTCACTCAACACAGTACTTAACCATCTTAGGAGGGTCAAAACAGGTAAGGACAGACAAAGGTGAACATATCCTCGGCATGAGCAGGTATATCTACTCGAGATGGGAAGTGACTCACCATCTGCTTGGGGCCCTCTTAAAACCATCCCAATTATTACTGTCAAATAGTTCCCCAGATATTTTTGGAAGTCCAACTTACCAACATGTAATAACCTATATGATAAGTTTCTGATCTCCTTCCTCAGCTCTCACCCTGGCTCCTGACCAGGGCACTGCAATGCCCAACCACAGGCCCTGGGGAAGCAACCCTGCTGCTACCTGTGCCTTTGCAAATCTAAACCTAAACGGACCAGCTAACTGGCCGGGAGCACACAGGACTGGGAGGGGGCTGCCCAGCCCCCACTCCTGCCATCCTTCTAACTCCTGTGCTCACAGAGATTAGAACTCTGGCCGCACACATGAACTTACGATTTCTGACTTCAAATCGATTTCTGAATAGCCCATCTGGTCTCTTAGTGTGCTTCTGCTCAAAGACCTCTTCATCCTCTAGCGAGGTCCTTGCATAGTGGCCAGTGGCAACGGCATCTGCTCCTGGAGGGTTTTCAAAACACAAGGATCCAGTGTGAGACACAAAGTTACTGGCAGAAACTGGAGTCAGCTGCGAAGAGGAATCCTCAACTAAGAAAATGTCTCCAACAGGCTGGACTTTCTCCATCAGATAGCAGACTTTTTCTGAGGGAGGGTCTCTCAACATACTGCTGGCTGTCCTGGAACTCACTATGTAGACCAGGCTGGTCCTGAACTCCGTCTCCCAAATGTTAGGACCAATGGTGTGTGCCACCATGCACAGCTGGTGGGCACAGCTGGTGGGCAATTTCTTGATAAATGGCTGATGTGGGCAGTACTGCCCCAGGAAGATGGTTCTGTATTGTAGAATAAAGCTAGCTAAGCGAGCCATGGGGAGCAGCCAGTAGGGAGCATTCTTCCATGGCTTTTGCTTGGGTTCTTGCCGTGGCTTCCCCTGATGACGGACTGTGATTGGACATGTAAGCCAATGAACCTTTCCTTCCCTAAGTTGCTTTTGGTCATAATTTTTATCATGGCAACAGAAAGTAAATTAGGATACTAGCCTAGATAAAGCAAGCAGAACCAACCACACCCTGAAACCTGCACAACTGTCAATCCCCACCTAACCAGAGAGCATGGGGCATAGAGGCCTGTGTGATAGCCCACTAAGCAGCTCTCTTCAGCTCCTGCATCTTTAAAGAGCCTTTCAAAAGTCAGAACCGATCCACTCACTCATCTAGCTTACTCAAAGATTGACAAGCTTACCAACACTAAGGAAAAACTGAAAACCAAAATATTCAACAGTAGGAGGCGTAAATTCTGATGTTGCAGCCTGATGGGAACGGCACTGACAAAGCACTGACTGGTCCCAAGAGACCACACCCATGGCAGTGGTAAGCAGAGGAAAGTCATGTCATACTGTCCCCATGACTTTAATATACGGCGGAAAAAAGGACAACCTCTAATTCCTTTGATTCTTGTGTGAAATCATAGATAAGCTACCCCTCTTTTATCAATGCCAGTGATTTGGTAAGTGTGCATTATTTTCATATGGAAGGACCACTGAACATATGTAATCTCTTCTGTCCCCATGATACTACCTTTCCACCGTGAGAAGTTCATGTGCCGGTACTGCTGAGACTGACCTGGAAGGCATAGCGAAGCAGACTCAGACCTGAGCAGCTGTACTGCTGGGCTAACACTGCATTCAAACCACTCAACTAGAACCTTCCAGGACACAGCACGGCATCTCCTCATTGCTCGCACATCATCCCTTTAGGACCATCACCCATACTGCAAGAAATGTGGAGCTCTTCTGAGAAGCCCCACTCCCTCAGAGCCTAGATTTCAGGTGTCTGACCATCAGGGGGGTCTAGTATGGGATTCAAACACAGAATAGGGACCCGGAGAGACAGGGAGACGCTGCAATAGGGAACCAGGTAAGCTGTGGCGCAGATTACAGAGGACCACCACACTAGGTCATAGCTTGACTGACCCTCAACACAAATGCATCTAAGAGGCTAGGTGTCCTCTGGGCCCCCGTGGGCCACACTCTGGACACCTCTGGCTCCCAGTTTAAGCAGTCTTCTTGCCAGTGTATGAAATACCACACAGGCCCGTAAGTCCTGGCTTGCTGCTCTGTGGGTAGTCTGCTGACTCCCATCTTGTGCAATTCTGGCTACGGTCAGACTGGCCTGCAGGCTTGTCCATGTGCCTGCCTCCCCACCCCCCAGCCTGTCTCCCACCCTCCCTTTCTTCCTTCACTGAGACAAGGTTTCACTATACAGGAGGGCTTAGAATTTGCTATAAAGCTTGGCTGGCCTCAAACTCCCAACAGGCTTGCCTCAGCCTCCCTCTTAGTAGGATTACAAGCGTGTGCTATCACTTCCTGCTCGGCAGACACTTGAGAGCTCTGCTGTCTCTGGCACTCCCGTGTTCCAGCTGATACAGGTAACGCACAGGTTCCCATGCCTACTTCCCTTTACTGATGCTCTTTCTCCAGTCACTACTGATTTAGATCTGAATCCTATTTTCCGAGAGTCCTGTGCTTAGAGTCCTGCCACCTTTTAGCCTTTAGGTCAGTGGCCAAACATACCTCCTTTCAGCTATGTGAGGACAGCTGCCTGCCCATGATGGAGGGCACCCTCTCCTTGAACTAGAAAGTTCTTCTGAAAGACAAAACTGTCCACAAGGTTCTAGCTCCTGACTTTGCCTGGAAGGCTATGATTTGAACACGCAGATGAAGAAATTCCAGTTCCTTACCAAGATTGTCCACAGCATAATGATAAAAGCAACTGAACTTGATGTGCTTATTGCAGATGATGTCAGGGTTGGGAGTCCGCCCTTTCTCATACTCATTCAAAAAGTCACTGGAAAAAAAGGAAAGCACCTTCAGCTAAGTGATACATTCCTTAAAAAACAAATAAGCTACTTGTTTAACGTGGAATTTCTCTCCACTGTCCCCCAAACTATACCTTCCTGCCCCATGAGAGCTTCATTATCAAACCATTTCCTACTATATCAAGTGGCTTCTCAGAACTCACATATTTTAATGAGAACAGGCTCAGATGTTTGAATACTTGTTCCCCAGTTGGTGGTGCTGTTTGGGCAGGCTTAGAAGGTACAGCCCTGATGGAGGAAGTAAGCCACTAGGGGGTAGGTTTTGAAGTTTTAAAAGTCACGTGCCATTCCCAGTTCACCCTCCCTGCTGCGGCCTGCTGCCATGGCAGACTTGCATCCCTCTGAACTGTTACACAAACAAACTCTTCCATTAGCTGCCTTGGCCACAGTGTTTGTCACAGCGACAAAAAATGCCCAAACTCTTATGAGTGGACCAGGCACTATTCTAGAACTCTTCAGGACAGCAGCAACTCATTCCCACAATGCTCCTGGTGGGTATGAGTATCATCCTTGATTTAAAGATGAGAAAACTGAGACTTAGAAACATCAAATAAATTGTCTCCAGGCAGTGGGAGCACATGCCTTTAATCCCACCACTCAAGAGGCAGAGGCAGGCGGATCTTTGTGAGTTCAAGGCCAACCTGGTCTACAAGAGCTAGTTCCAGGACAGCCAGTGCTATGCAGAGAAACCCTGTCTCAAAAAACCAAAAAACTAACTAACTAAATAAATCAAAAAAATTGTCAAAGTTCTTCTATGTGGAGTGACACAGTTGAGACAAGAGCAACCCACAATGAACATGGCCTGTTATCTCTGCATGTGCAAGGGCTTCTAGGCATTGTCAGGGTTGACCAGAGACTAGTCTGGGTGTTTTTCTCTGCAGGAGTAAGTGGCTAGCCAAACTTCACACATTCCTGAGATAGAAATGGAACATGTTCCCCGTCACTGCTGCTCTTGTACCCCACAGAACAACCTCTATTTAAGTCTTCCTTGAAGCTGCTCAGGCCCCTCCTCTTCCATGTGGCTGCCAGACCATACTCTATGATACACCATTCTCCCTCCTCTCAAACCAGAGAGTTTCCTACAGGATGCTCACCACCATCAGCACCTCGAGTAAAGATTCTACCACCAAGTAGATAGCCAATTCCTACAGAACAGGGCCATGATGTATAAACTTTGTATTCTTAGATGTAGCACAGTGCTTAGCATATAGTAAGCAGTAAGAATTATGGTGTTTAGGCTGGATTGTGGAGGCAGAGGCACGTGGATCTCTGTGAGTTCGAGGCCAGCCTGGTCTACAAAAAGAGTTCCAGGACAGCCAGGGCTATACAGAGAAACCCTGTCTTGAAAAATCAGAAAGAAAAACAGAAACCTCTGGCAGGTGGGGAATATCCCAAGAGGGTGAGAAAGGTGAGGGTGCTGTGGGCCAGGCCACTGGTGCTCCAACTCCAGCAGTCTTGGACACCTCTGTGGAGAAGCACCGGCTGTTTTCACCCTTCCTTGGAAAAGACTCACAGTACAGTAAACCCTGCATGTACAGCAGCCTGCACTCACCTGAACACCTCATTCCAGTACTCCTTCACGTAGGACACCTGATGGAAAGGGATGTCTAAGATCCGACAGACTTTATAAGCATCTTCACAGTCCTTGTCAGCAGCACAGACACCATGTTCATCCAGAGAGTCCCAGTTCTTCATAAATACCCCCGTCACCTGGTAACCTGCAGAGAGAAGTGAGGGTAAAAAGCAGGGCCATCAGTGCTCTGAGCAATTTGAACACACCATACCTTTCCAGCCCCGATGCCTCTCTAGATTTTGGATGGCAGTCCAAGCCTGTACACATGGCCTAGGGCCTGGGTTCCATTCTAGTGTAATCCCTGTAGGCTCTTCCCTTTAACACTCATTACACTGCTAAGGCCTCCACACTGTAGTACACTGTGTATTGAAACTGTTTGTGTCCCCAAAGTGAACAAAATGAGCTTTCTCCCATCCTATGTATCAAAACAATGCTTAACACACAGCAGGGGCATATCAGATATGTGCTGAATGACTGAACAATGAGTAGAAACTCAAGCTATCATTCAGCCAGATGTGATCACACACACCTAAGATTCCAGTATTTGGGAGGCTAGGGCAGGAAGGTACTGAGTTTGAGGCTAGCTGCAAGCTACATATCGATTCTGTTTAAAAGAGAAACAAAGAAAGAAAACCAGGGCCAGAGAGATAGCTCTAGGGTTAAGAGCATTTGCTGATTCTCCAGAGGACACAGGTTCAATTCCCAGTATCCACACAGCAGGCACAGGCACAACCATCTGTAAGTCCAGTTCCAGGGGATCCAATGCCTCCTTCTTGCCTGCCTTAATACCAGGCACACACGGTACACAGACATACATGCAGGCAGCTTTACCATCCACATATTTTATGATTCATTTTCTTCTCTACTGTGACAAATATCACATAGGACAGCACTGGCACTCCAACGTCTTAGAAAACTCACAGATGCTCAACCTACATCAAAACCCTGTATCTCTTAAATAAACTGAATGTAAGGAAAGACAGAGTAGTTGTATTAAAAGCTTTAAGTAACACCCACACACACAAATTCCAGGGAAAATTTTTGCTGACAAATCTTTAACAAATGAAATGCCATGCCCATTAAGGCCCTACACACCCTAAGGACCTATGGGATGAGGCCCTCTTGCATCTGGAAGCACCTGACTCTGCTTTACCAGAGATTAGCTGTGCTGCGCTCAGCTCTTGAGCTAGTCTTGCATTTAACTTACTACAGAAAAGGACTCCTCGAGGGCAGAGACGGATAATCCAACCCTGGATCCCCAGGGCTACTACAGTGCCCAGTGCATAAGGCGAGCTAAAACCCGACAAGTCTGTAGGACGAACAAACGTGGAGCTTTAGAACCTCCCTATCCACATACCAAATCTGCCCGATCAACTAGCCCACAGAGAGACATACCCACATACCGGGGGGTAGGCACTCGAGGGTGGGTGAGCTTTCTAGGGAACGTGTGACAGGGCACCCCCTGCAAAGAGCCCTCGATGTCGAAATGATAGGATAATGCTTTCCCCCTGATACAGCCATCAGCTTCTTCCATGAAAGAAATCCAAGAAAAGACAGAAATAAGAGACACTGCAGCCTGGAGGGACAGAGCCAATGTTTTGGCTACGTTTCTACTGATGTGATAAACAGCATGACCAAAAGCAACTTGGAAAGGATTTATTTTGCCTTAAAGAGCACAGTCCATCATCAAGGGAAACCAAGGCAGGAATTCTGGTCAGAAACTGAAGCAGAGGCCATGAAAAAACACTGCTTACAGGCTAATTCGCAACAGCTTGCTCAGTCTGCTTACTTAGACAACCAGGACCACCTGCCCGGGGGTAGCATTATTCATAATGGGACAGGCCCTCCTACATCAACCATTCATTAATCAAGAAAATGCCCCACAGACTAGCCAAGCCTGCAGGCCACTGCGATGGCGGCATTTTCTGAGCACCCTCTTTCCAGGGGACCCCAGCATGTGTCACGTAGACATAAAAACTAGTAAGACTTATCTTCCTTCCGTTGTAAAATGATAAATCCGGACGAACACAGTCAACCTCCTGCGTCTCCCAAAGCATGCAGTCACAGTCCTCATTGGAAACCTTCCAAGATTCACAGCTGCCTACTCCCTACTAATACCACGTGGCTTCACTACCTGGGGAACTCTCTCTACCCTACCCTGACTCTCAGCACTCTTTATCTATCCTCTGACTCCTGTGCTACTGACTCTGCCTCAGCAGCCAGCCCTTTGTAGAGAACCCCTACTGAGCTTCGGTCCCCTACTTCTAGGCGTGGCTCCCTTCTCCCTTTCCCACCCAGCACACGTGTATGCTACGCCCATTCTCTTAGGCACTTTACCTCTCATGGCAGCTGTGGTTAAGTCGCTCGTGCTTTCCAAACTATCTCATATCGCATGGCTAACCCTTTCAATACATACTATGCCATTTAACAATCCCAGACACCCCAAATTTGAGGTTGTTCCACTTTACAGAGGGGTGCTTAATTAACGTGCCCAAATTCTGACCTAGCCCGAGCCTTGGGGAAGGTGATTCACGGCTCAGGCGCCATAAACACTGCCACGTGAATACGGAATGAAGTCGAAATAAGGGGGCGGGGAGATACAGGGAGAGGAATTTAGATGGGTAAACTGGTATCAGATCCGGACCCTACGGTCCTGTGGGGCCACGTTTAGAAGTCAGGAAGAAATGACAGCCGTTCAGAGTCATCCAACGAAGGGGAAACACTGAGTGATTTAGTCACCAAGCAGGTGGCCGTCCTCAAGTGGAGGCCCGCGGAGTCTGCAGAGGCCAGGCCTAAGGACTGGATGAGCCCAGTTCCTGTCCCCACTGAGGAACCCTGGCCTCACCTCTTCGCCGCAACAGAAGCGCAGCCACCGCGCTGTCCACGCCACCAGACAGGGCGCACACGACATGCCGCAGCGCCGACATCGGCCCACAGGCAACTCCTACCAGCAGCTTTCGGGCAGCGTCTACGCTACGCCGGAAGTCCCGGCCTCCGGGGCGTCCTCAACTCTTCACCCGGCCGGAAACGTGCTCCGCCCACCCTGCGTTCTGCCCGCCTTCTGGTTCCGCGCGGCGGGTTGGCTGAGACAGGCTAGGCACGTCGCCTCCCGGAGAGGTCGAGGATGAACTGGGCGGGCCGAGCTTCCCAATCGCTGCCCGCTGCTCCGCCTTTTCTTTTGCGCTCCGCTGTCCTCCCGGGTGAGCTGCACTAGAAACAGCCTTCACTCTGGCTTGAGATCCTGGCTGCACAAGGGCGAGGACACCGTGTTGTGTCTGGAACTGGCTTCTTATGGTGACCTGCTAGAGGGACTGGACTGTCACTACGTTCCCAATGAGTTTTAGACAGACTAGATTTTTTTTTTTTTTTTTTTGAGAGCTGGCATCGGGTCCTCCTGGGGTGCAAATGCCTGAAACTGCTGCAGCCGCAGAGGGTGCAGAGGTCAGTGGACAGAACAGAGTGGACTGTTAGTAAGGCTTCCCTAGCTGCTCGGTCGGCTTGTTGGAGTACGCGATGGGAACATGGTTAGGAGGCCCAGTGAGCTGAGGATGAGCCACAGCGGGTAGAAGTTGAGTTGAACCTGGTGCTGTGGCCTTGGACTTAAGAGTGCACTCGGGAGGCAGAGGCAGGCAGACCTCTGAGTTCGAGACCAGCCTGGTCTACAGCGCCAGTTCCAGGACAGCCAAGGATACACAGAAAAAACCTGTCTTGGCGCGCGGGGAGGGGGGGGAGGATGTCTCATGGGCCATTCTTGGAGGATGAACTCTGATGAGTGGATGCCTTTGGGATCTCGGATTGCAGCTGTGGCTTTTTCTGAATTCATTGTGGGGAGCCAGGCACCTGGCAGCTGGTGGGGGGCTGCTGGAAGAAACAGGTGCTGAATATGTATGGGGGGAGTAGGGTATGAGCAAAGTCAAGTAGGAGACTTGGGCAGGCAAGAAGGCAAAGGGTCGTGCCTGTGGAGTGTCCCAGCCAAAGATAACACACAAGTCGGCCTAGAGTACTGGGACCTCCCTTCTTAGGTGTGGGCCTTTAATATAGCAAGCCTCACTTTCCCTGTTAGAGCTGGTGATAGGACCAACCACAGAGTATCAGAAGCCTGACAAACTTACAACCTCTGTTGTCCTAGGTAGAGTTTTTTGGCAACTTGACCCAAGCTAGAGTCATCTTGGAAGAGGGACCATCAATTGAGAAAAAGCTTCCATTAGATTGGCCCTTAGGCAAGTCTGTGGGATTTTCTAATTTTGGTTGTGAGCCTAGCCTTTAACAGCTGAGCCATCTCTCCAGCCTTTGGGATTTTAAGACTTTTTAAATTTTTATATATATGGGCCAGGCGATGGTGGCGCACGCCTTTAATCCCAGCACTCGGGAGGCAGAGACAGGCGGATCTCTGTGAGTTCGAGACCAGCCTGGTCTACAGAGCTAGTTCCAGGACAGGCTCCAAAGCCACAGAGAAACCCTGTCTCAAAAAAAAAAAAAAAAAAAAAAAAAAAAAACCCTGTCTCTAAATTTTTATATATATGAATGCTCTATCTGCATGTACACCTTTATGCCAGAAGAGGGCATTAGATCCAACTACAGATGGTTGTGAGCCGCCAAGCATGGTTGCTGGGGCTTGAACTCAAGCTCTCTGGAAGAACAGCCAGGGTTCTTAGCTGCTAAGCCATCTTCCAACCCCTGGGGACGGGATTTTCTTGATTGACTGATGTAGGAAAGCCTAGATCACTGTGAGCAGGGCCACCCCTGTGCAGGTGATCTTGGGTTGTGAAAGAACTAAGCAAGTCACGGGGAGCAAGCCAGTAAGCAGCATTTCTCTATGGTCTTTGCTTCAGTTCCTGTTTTGAGTTCCTATTCTAACTTCTCTTCAGGTTGGACTGTGTTTAAGATGTGCAAACCAAATAAAAAAACCTTTCCTCCCCAGCTGCTTTTGGTCAGTGTTTCATTACAATAGAAAACAAAGTAGGACATGCCTTTCTGATTAAACACATAAACCTATAGTTCTAATAGTCTGCAGTATAATTAATACACCATGGACCAGCTGTGGCCAAGGTGACATCACAAAGTGCTGCGTGGCAACAACACAAAAGGCACGTAAATCTCAGAAACACTGACCCTAGCCGGGTGGGGGTGGGGTGGGGTGGTGGCACATACCTTTAAATCTCAGGACTCAGGAGGTAGAGGCAGGTGGATCTCTGAGTTTGAGGTCAACCTGATCTACAAGGCTAGTTCCAGGACATCTAGGACTGTTACACAGAAAAACCCTATCTTCAAATAAAAAAAAAAAAAAAGAGGAGGAGGAGGAGAAAGAGGAGGAGGAGGAGGAAGAAGAAGAGGAGGAGGAGGAGGAGGAGGAGGAGGAGGAGGAGGAAGAAGAAGAAGAAGAAGAAGAAGAAGAAGAAGAAGAAGAAGAAGAAGAAGAAGAAACACCATCCGGGAAGGTGAAGGTTTAGTTATCCGCCCATGTACTTCATGCCAGTCTCCAACCCGTGTCACAAAGCTGATCCTTTGAACAGCCAGCTTAGGATGTGTAAAAAACAAGGACTTAGGAAAGCTGCCTTTGAGCATCTTCAGAGGGTAAAGCAGATTATAACACAGGCCACCAACATCAGATGTCCTGGTAGATAAGAGCAGAGCCCAGCCACATTAGGGAAAGGCACACAAGGGCTGAGCCAGAGCTAAAGGCTAAGTAGTCACCGAGTGAACACTACCAAGATAGCCTGGTTATTATGGGTTAATATATTTTCCCCACCAAACACCCCACTGTACCCTAAGGGAAATGCAGCCCAGCCCCTAATGCAAACCCAATACTTGCTTAATGAGTTCAATTCCATGTTTAGTTTTTCCCATGTGGAAGGAGGATTAGATCTGGGAAGGTGAGGGCACTTTAAAGTGCTAATGCTCAGGACTCCAGAACTTCCCGCCCACTGGGAAACCATCTTCCATCCCTCCAGGGAATGCAGCATGCAGGATCTATGTTAGATGGACGGACAGATGCAGCAATGCCGTGTGAAACCCCCTCACTTTGTCCTGCTGATGCCGTAACCATACTCCAGCTAGCAGCTTTGCATTCAACACATAACCAGAGAATGAGAGACCCATCCAGACTTCTTTCTCCCAACTGTGGACAGTGAGAGGCTCCAGACAGTGCTTTCTGCTGTCATCCGTAGGTCAGTGGCTTCCAGGTAGCTAGTCTTTCTGTAGCAAGTGAGGCTTCAAGCATGGGACTGGCTTTCCAGTGACCTTCTTCCCAGTGTCCCACATCATCTGGTTGGTGTGTGCTCAGAAGTGACCCAGGGAAGAGAGCGGCAGGCTCAGGGGCTGTCACTTTGAAGCGACCCTCCTTCACAGCTCAGAGCAGCCTGTGAAAGGTGTGCCCCTTAGACTACTGCATCAGACCTTGCCGACTGTATCAACAATGCAGGTTATTAGGCCTGCACAGATGACGGGCTGGTGTACCTGGGGTGGACCAGAGACTGATATTTATACCAATTTTATTTCCCTACATTTTTGAAAATTAAGGTTGGATAATGAGAGTCTTCTATAATGTCTGGAGAGATGGAAACAGCTCCCCATGTCCAAACATCAAGTGTGAAAATCAAGCATATTTTAATGTACTTTATAATTTAATTTAAATCTAGAATATTTAACTTTTCAAACAAATTTAAGTTTACAGTCATTAGCTATTTTACATACAAAAGAATCAAGGCAGGGAGCGGGGCAGCCAGAGGTGGACTGCTTAGGTCCACAGTGGGAACCCTACCTGGGCGCCACTCCAGACATAAGCAGGATAACAGGCCTCCCCCCAGTCAAATACAATTCCTTCCAATGTTCATGTCTACGGTCTGAGGACACGACAGAGGTAAACCGAAGGGCAGAAGGTGCTCTACTCAGAACTTGAGCAGTGGTGAGTCCACATTTTCTTTGTCAGCCTCAGGGCTCAGCTGAATCAGTGGGGGGTCCAGGTCGATCAGCTGGAAGAGAACGGATAGCAAGGTGAACACAGCTGTCTGGGAGGCCACGGAGACTCAAGCACCGTGTCTAAGACTCTTAGACCCTCACACGCATAAGCACTGTGGGACTCCCTGACACAGCGGGCAGGAACGTGTGGTGCTAGGGACCTGACTGCTGTCCTGAGAGCTCCTCTAGGTCTAGCAAGATGCCTGAGGGCAATGGGTGACCGCAGAGAAGCCAAGCGACAAACCCTGTGAGCCCCAAGGGCACCATGCAGGGCCCAGGTCAGACAGCATCCTGGGCTGAAGTCAGTATGGATGCCCTGCCGCTTCTCACCTGCCCAAGCTCAGCCTTCGGCGGTTTCCCCACATTGTTTCTGGCCATGTTTGGAGTGTTCATTATAAGGTCCATCAGGGACCATCTGCTGGGTCCCAAAGCCATGTTCGACTCAGGGGTGTTGCTGAAGTCGATGAGAGGGTGGTCAGATAGGTCTCTGCCCCCTGCTTCAGGAGTGATGGTCAGCTGGTCCAGCTTTATGTCCACGAGAAGATCCTAGGCAGGGCATGGAGAGAGGGAAAGTCTAGTACTATGTTGGTGCCCAGCAACCACCCTGGGAAGCCAGGCTTTGCCTATGGCCTGGACTCACAGCTTGGAGCCTAAGGGAAAGGTTGGAGGGTGCACAGAGTGGGAGTAAGCTCCCCGCTGGGCAGTGCACCCCTTCCCAGAACTAGTAGGGAGCTTCAGCCTGCTCCCATCCCTGGCCTCTGACCCCCAACCAACTCCCTTGTCAAACCTTTCTTTAGTTCCCAGTCCTAAGCTCCCCCGAGTCTGCTGGAACCATAGGCCCAGCCATGGGGGAGGGTAAAGGGGGAAGGGGAAAGGGACCTAGGAGTCTCTGTCCATGGCTTTTCGTGCATCTCAGAGGGCTCCTAACTGCAACCAGCTCCATGTACCTCGCTGGGGCTTGTGTTTTCTTGAGGCTCTGCTTCACCCTGAGCTGTGCCTGTGGTGCAGCCCTGGGAAGGAGGAAAGTCACTCTTCT